AACTTAAACACAGTATGGGAAGAACAGCAGAAAATGTGCTAATGAGCAAAAATAAAGGGGATTTGAAAATCATGGAGCTAAAGGCCACGACGGCAATGTTACGCCAACAGAGTTGTCTACCAGTTTACAAAGATCTGCTTTCACCCGCCATATATAGGCCGCCTCCAGGTAACGCAATGTCCGAGTTTTTCATTCCCGAACTAGTACTCGAAAGGAAGCTATAGGGTCGATGGAGTGACCACTATCAGGCAGGTGTTTTCTAATAGAGGTAGGTGGGATTTTATATTCTTGCTTCATAAGTCATCTGGGGAGGTGCTCAATAGACCGGAATGCCGACTGCCATTGCGATCACCCAATGTACTGGCACCCCAAGGTGTATGTGAATTCATGAACACAATTTGAAGTGGCGTGCATTGGGAGGAATTGGAAGAGGCTTAGTAGAACAGCATAATATGAATTCGGCTGCATTTTATGTCCTTTCGATTGTGGCACGCGTGCGTCGTTTGATGGCGTTATAAATATTGTCGCCCTTAGATGAAAATGCCATGGAATCCGGAAAAAAGTAAATGCTGCGGCACCTACCCGCCGCATGTTAACTGAGTCAGCCGAGTCGCGCGAACTCAGTGGATAATCAAAAAGTTTCCATGAACAAGAAAAATACTGTGAAAATAAAATTGCAATCATCGGGCAATCGGTTAATAGACGGATTCGTTAGCTGATCCGCCGATCTGCGAGTCCGTATACAGCAAAGGCAAAACACACAAAGCAGACCGCTAATTTGTCTTTTCTACAAGAAAATCTTTTCAACCGCTCACTAACGTCCGGTCGCTGGTTTCACTTGTATGATTCCCCGTGTATTACCAATAGAAATAATGACTTCTGGGTAAATATTTTATTTTTCACACATCTGTATGACCAGAAAACATCAGATCCCGCACCAGTATGGGGCATATTCTCTCCAGTTTGCCTTAGAATGAAAAATTTGGGAATTACGGACGTTGACGCAGTTTGCCTTTCTGTGTACGGCGACTTTTGGAGCGGGCGTTGTCCTTGCTGTGTGGCTCCTCCCTTATCCAATTTCAGCTGAAATGTGGAAATAAGAGTGGGATCATTAATTGACCTCGGAAATTGATTACACCGAATGCCCTTTCGTACACGCCTTATAATTGATGTTAACTTAGGGGAAATTATGGAACAAGATAACGAAAGGTTCGTTAATTGTGAACATCACAAATGAATTTTAACCAACCAACCTGAACGTTGCCATATGCGGCATTCCGGTTTACAAGTGGTTTCCCAAAACGGTCGGATATCCTTGGCTAGGCAAACGCTATTGTGTATTCTATCTCAACGTGCCAATCCTGCGGATATGTTTGGTTTGTAAATGTATTGGCCTGAAAAAGAACTACCAAAAACATGTGCATGTCAACTTGAACTTTCAAGTGCTTGGCTTTCGCTAAGCAGGGCACTGACGCATGTAATTTGAGTCAGGACAATACACATGTCGTAAAGCCAGCATTTTCGAACGATAACTGGAAAATATAGTCTCACATTTGCTCGCCTCTTTTGCGGATGCACTTGCAGCCGTTAATCTGCATAGGCATTTGCCATCGCGACAGAAATCGTGTAAGACCTTGGTTGAATGTTGATAAAGGTTAACTTTAATTACTCACTGCCCAAAATACGGACGCGAAGCATACTTTGCAACATATTCCACACATGGAAAATTTGCATCGCAGGTGTTTTATCGTAAACGTCCTCATTTTACGCAAAATTAATAAATCGCAAAAACCATGTGATTATAAATATATATTTGATTCCGTCACTGCATGAGTAACCATTCCCGATTATTTTTCTTCGCTCAGAAGGAAATCACTTAGGCTGATGCATTGGGTTTGTCTGTTTTAAAAAAGCACCATTTGAGAGAGGTCCGCACATTCGCACCAGTCACCACAGCAGATGTCCTCGAGCATGTATGCCTACAAAATCGACTAACCTTTACATAATTAGGTGCCTGTGGGCTGAAATTTAGACTATTATCTCAATTATCTATTAAAGTTTACCAAACAGTGCTAAAAAGTTTTAATGTGTTAGGTTTTACGGTGTGTTCCACTGACGGTTTTTCTGATGACTTCGTATGGTAACGCCGGTAATGGGAAACTGCTGAGGGGAAGTCTCTCGCCAGTGATTGACGGTTGCTTGAAATCGTTGCTCAAGTAATGTAAAGGCGTACAAAGAGTGAATATAAAATAAGTGAAATGAGCATAAAAACGGTTTTTATAAATATTCGCAATATTGGGCAGCCGAACGAAGCAGTAGGGTGACGTATGGATATGAATATAAACGTCAGTGCGCACTTTTTAGATAATATAAAGTCTCCTTTTCAAATAAAGCTTTACTACATCGATAGAAGCAAACAAGCTCATCGTAACTGTATTTGCTTGACAACTTGACCTTTCAAGTGCTTGACTTTTGTTAAACAGTCACTTAAGCATATAATATGAGTCAGGACAATACATGTGTTGTAAAGCCAGCGTTTTCGAACAATAACTGGAAAATAAAGCCCCGATTTTGCTCGCCTGTTGTGCACACAGACTTGCAGTCACAAATCTGCATAGGCATTCGTCATCACAGCAGAAATCTTAGATTATCAATGTACACGATTTCCTCCATTATAAACATCCTCGCTTTGTATCCTATTATTTTCCTGGACACAATTAACTTTCCCTTTCCCGGAAGCATAATCTCATTTTGCTCTGACAAGGAAGCAGCAGCGGTGGATTTTAGGCGAATAGAGAGCACAGCACGGCTAATTTAGACGCACTTTCGGTAAAGGTAAAGGGGGTTGCCGATGATCAGCCACATTTCACTTCCAGTCTGAAACCCGGACGAGACTACATCCAATTTCTAAATTACAGTAAATGTGCTAACTCGTGAAATGTCAACCAAAATTTCGAAATGCGTTCTCGTTCCGAAAAGATAAATTAAGTAGTGTTGCAAAATTAATCATGATGTTGCATAAATCTATAATGCTCCAGTCACCACAGGGTGTCGGCTTTCGAAAGAATTTATTTTGACTGCATGGAGGATCTATACTCTGCACAAAATGACTACTTATGTAGCATGCAATTTTCTCATTGATTTGCGATGCCCTTGAAAATTCAATTATATTTCATGGAAGACATGCATAAAAGTATTCTTTTTCTTATTCGGTAGAAAATCACGTCTTTCTCCAATTTCTTGCTCAAAAGAATAATATAATTCGGTTTTAAAAAGTTTCTAATTGTGAGATTTTTAATACCGTTAAATGGCCGTTCGTGAAACGTCATGTATCTGCATTTACGAATGTGGCTCGTAAAGTTAACAATATTGCTCAAATCCACTGCTTAATTTTATGAAACTCATATGATCTCCTCTTAACACCGTAGAAAAATGCATGGTTTTCCGTACACGGAAAATATACAGCTTGTAGTTTTGAAACCCTGAATGCAAGTGAAACAGCAGGTCGGGTTCAAAATTATTCGGAAATTAGAAAAGTTTTTTGAAACCGAATTATAATCTTTTTTGAGGATGAAATTGGAAGAAGACATGATGTTCTACCGAATAAGTAAATGAATACTTTTATGCATGTTTTCCATGAAATATAATTGAATTTTCAAGGGCATCGAAAATCAATGAGAAAATTGCATATCAAATAAGTAGTCATTTTTTGCAGAGTATAGATCTTGTGTGTAGCCGAAAATAAGTTCATTCGAAAGCCGACACCCTGAGGTAAAAGGATGATTATATATTTATGCTGCATCATGATTAGTTTTACAGCACTACTTAATTTATCTTTTCGAAACGAGAACGCATTTCGAAATTTTGGTTGACATTTCATGAGTTAGCACATCTACTGTACTTAGAATCCGACATGTCATTACATATACACTCAGGTTTTCCAAATTACAAGTTTAATGTTTTCCGTGTACGAAGCATTAGACATTTCCCCAAGCTATTTTGAGGGAAACATATATATGCGTTCAATGAAACTTTTCAGTAGAGTTGGGCGCATTACAAGCTTTAAAGCCATTTTCGTAAATGTCGAGACACGATGTTTTGTAAACGGGCACTTCACGTTCCCAAAATTTTTAGACTAAAAAACTTAAAAACGTAATTATACCCTTCCTTTAACTATGAATTTGAAGAGGACGTGAAATTTCTGCTGAATGAGTAAAGAAATGAACATGTTTATATGCTGGTTCTCTATGAGATATATTTCAACTCATAAATATATCGAGAATCAACGAGGAAAAGTCATGTAAAGTAAGAAGTCAGTTTTTACAGCATGCAGCGTTTGCACCCGACCGAAATGATATTCCTTCGAAAGCTGGCATCTTGAAGTAACCGAATTATCCTGGAATTATTTTGCATTATCTCGCATGTTACAATCCTACTGTAGTAATTTTTTGTTTCGAAAATGTATTTCAGGGTTTCGGTTAATTTTTCATGAGTTATCGCATCGATTGCAGTCCTAACTGACTGGCATGGTTCTCAAAAACAATAAAGGTTCCCGCTATCACACTTTACCTTAACTTTTCGACGAACAAGACCATGGAGTTCGGCAACAAGCAAATGCTGAAGTACCTGCCTGCCGCATATTAACTGAGTCAGTCGTATCTCTCGAACTCAGTGAATGATCAAAATTTTCTACTAAAGAGACAGATACTCCAAAAATGAAACAACTGTCACAGTAAACAATTGGCCAATAGGCGGATTTGTTAGCTGATACACAAAGCAGACCACCAATTTCCTCTTCCACAAGAAAATCTTTTTAGGCGCACAGTAGCTTCCGATCGTTGCCTACAGATGTACGAGTCCCCGTGTACTCGCGAGAAAAATAATGACTTCTTAGTATATATTTTATTCTTCCACGCCTCTCCATGACAATAAAATATTCTGTCCCACACCAGTATAGGGTATTATCTTTCCTATTTCCCTTGGAATATTAAATACGGGCATTAGAGACATTGACTCAGTTTGCATGTCTGTCCACGGCGACATTTGGAGCAGGCGTCGCCCTTTTGGTATGGCTCCTCACCTATCCAATTTCCTCTGAAATTTAGAAATAACAGCGGGGCCAGTAACTGAACTCGGAAATCCATATGTAATGTATCGTTTTGTACACTTCCCTTTTTTATGCTTATTCCGTTAAATATCACGAGAAATAATGAAATGGAGATAATCAACTGATTTCTAAACTGTAAATATCTCAAATAGCATCTTTATCATACAACACAAACTTTCGCATAGGGCTAGAAAATCCTTGGCTAGAAAACTGCTTTTTCTTATTGCACTAGAAAAAGCAATTTGGGTCAAAACACCGTGAATCCCGTTAGCCCAGCATCTCTGAGCAAACGTTATGAAATACAGTCCGAAATTGAATCAGGACAATACACATGTTGTAAAGCCAGCGTTTTCGAACAGTAACCGAAAAATATAGTCCCGAATTTGCTCGCCTCCTGTGCCAACGGACTTGCAGTTGTAAAGCTGCATAGGCATTCGTCGTCGGGACAGAAATGTTAGATTAGCGGTTTACACGATTGCCTACATTCTTAACACCCACGCTTTGTATTCCTTTATTTTCCTGGTCACAATTAACTTCCAATGTCTCCGGAATCGTGATCTCCTCTTGTTCCGACAAGGAGGAAACTGGAGTGCATTTTAGGCTAAATGAGATCACAGTATGATATGCAATGCGGAAATGCGTACATTGCTAATCGAGACGCATTGTCGGTAAAGCCATACAGGGCTGAAATAAGAATAACTGGTGCCTAGACTAGACTTCGTCCGCTGCCAATGCTTTTATAGAAATGGACTGCAGAACGAGTGTCTCTTCTTGCTGTCTGTCGCAAATGAAAATTTAAATAAAATAATCTGATTGTCTCGAGTAACCTTTTAGCTCGTTGCACTCCAGATTGTGCAAGCATGACGGGCTTTCTGAACTGAGTCGCCGCTTTTTGCTATACTCCATTCTTATTGAAATTTTTATATTACTATTCTCTCTCCTAGTTTACACATAAAATACCGATTTTCTATGTCTTAACCACAGTATCGGAGTCATCGACACATTACCTTGACACCGTTTTGACAAAGGTGAAATCTGGCACGTCTTTTGGAAATTATTCATTAGCGAGTTTTCGTGACGCCAATAAGTATCGCTTGTAGCCCTCTTATGATACGTGTTTTGTGCACCTATTTTTCCACTGCAAATGAAAGTCTTTCTGCGAAAATTGGAATATGAGGTCTGCAAAATAAAGCGTGTCTCTCTTTCTGAATTTATAAATGGGCAAACAGTACTAAACTAAACGAGTGCCATTTGCCTCAAGTTTCTGCCTAAGACGCAGGCAGGAAGTTGATCGTAAATCCAACTTACCTGGGATAGTATTGACATGCCCACAGGTACGTCTTCATGCCGAATATGTTGTCACATCTATTGTAGGAACAGCCTACTTTAGTTGTGTTTGACCATATCATCTACAGTAAGAGAGAAATAAAAGCCGACCTGAGAAAAATCTTCCAGTATAGTCTGACGCGAAGTTGAATATCAACGAAAGAGAAAGTTTTACAAGTAAAAAAGTGATTTCTCATATGTTGGAAATTCTGCCAAAGGAATGGACTTACCGCAGTGTAGTGTGCACAGGGCTCTTCGGAGCAGTAATTATTCTTTCCCAAATAGTTTGCTCTCTCTGCATACCACAGAGTCATTGCAACGTGTAGACTGTCGAGGGGGTCTCGATTTCCCGCAGTCGCCAGATTCTGCCCGTACGGCTTATATCTTTCTGACGTTGGGTGGTCGTCCACACACTGGCTCACCCACTCTTCAGCCAGTTTTTCCAATTCTGTGTCGTAGGTCTAAAGACAAATATGAACGTAGGAAATGTTCCTCCAAAGAATGCCCTATCTAGTTTATTTGACATTTTGGATTAGCCTTTCCTCACTTACCATTGTCTGCATGTCTGCCGCGCCAGGGTACACGGACTTCCTTGCTAGATTGTGGTATTCCATGATGATGGTGATGTAAGGCTGAGGGAGCCCCAAGCTCATTGCGACAAAGAGCAGTAGCAGTGCATGAATGACGATCATCTGTGAATGCATTTATCTGCAGAGGAAAAAACATTTTTTTCAACAATGATTATTAATGTTTCGTCGTTTTATATTTGGAACGTGTCTTGATAGGCATTCATCAAGTCACCTTGGAGTCTATTCTAAATGAGCACTCCATATTTTGTTAATATAAGACAGGCAAAACGAATTATTTCAAAGACAACTGCCTATGATTAATGATGTGAAAATGGCAATAATGCCAATATTATTTTGCATGTTCTTGAACTGATAATCTGAAGCCATATTTCTGCTTAAGCGCTACTGGAAGGCTCATTGATTGTTAGGCAGTAGTTCAATAATTCAGGGTTTGAGTGCTTGCCTTAGTCGCGAAAGAAAACAACAATTCAGAACGCCGCTTGCATCATGCTTTGTAACTTATTGCTCAATAAAAGGGGCCAGACGTCCCCGAACAACTGTGCTTATATCATCTTACGGTATTTTTGTTGAAGCGTGTTCACTTGAATAAACTTTCCTTGAAATTAGTCATATTTTTCTCACCGGTTTCGAAATTTTCTTCGTGATTCAGCAAGCAAGATAACGCGCGCTGTGTGGGTGTTTCAAGAGGTAACGCATGAGTATATATATACACAGTTGAAACGGCAGTTATAAAATACGCATGAATATTTGCGGGCATAATTGATCCTTAAAGTGGATTTATGGGCTTTTGTGTGACCGTCAACAGGTATTGTTTTCACATAGTTCTATGTAGAGCAGAAGTGGTAAGAACAGTTCATCTGCGATTTAACAGAATAACAATGCTGATTTATTGGAAATGGAATAGTTAACTAAACAGGGTTATTCTCAGAAAGTGTTTTTGTCTCTGCGCCGAAGTTCATCAGCCACAGTGCATAGCCTAACATATACTACTATCTGCCTGTCGGCAGTTACTAAAGATTACGCGATTATGCACTGTGGGTGATGGACTTCGGCGCAGATGGTTATGAATCAGATTTCGGTCTACGTCCATAGACCCGAAGAATATACAGTTTGCAGTTAATCTCTGGGAAATTAGAAAGCAGCAGCCTTCCAAACATTTGATACTAGGGTTGGGCCTAGTGGTTGGCAGATTTACGATAGTTTATCGACGTGTGTGGCACATTACCAGATCACAACGATATGCACTAGGGTACAGCAAAGAACATGCTTGCCACTTGATGAGAGATGCACGTTTGGGGCATGTGGTGGATGATTTTGGGAAAAGTTTATACGGCAGCAGGTAAAGCCAGTTGTGATTATAAGACATGGGTGGAGGGATTTTAATGACGGATTTTTATAGAAGCGTGTGTAGTCGAATAAGCGCCTGCGACTTCTGAATGTTCCGTTGACAATGTGTCCATTAGTGCGACGGGTTCCGCTGGTGCTCTCCGCATGGGTTCGTCAGTCTCAGCGGGTGGAAGTCGTCGAGACCAGCCGTGGCGTGTGTGTGATGACAGAGTGGACATGATAAGGTTGAGCCTGCTAACCTGATTGTGGTCGTAGTGCTGCCAATGGTAGTGACGGGGTTTTAAGCGCTTGTGTTGGATTGCAAGTGTGTTTGAGGTGGGTTCGTCATATGGACATTGTGACTAATTTAGTTTTCGTGTAGGTTTATGTGACCACGAATATCCACACGTTATTCCAAATATCCTGGAGCATTGAGGATAGATGAGTCAGGCATGACGGATGTACACATGTTGGTGCTCAAAGCACTAGTTTGCTGGTCTCGGAGCGATGGTTTCCCAAGTGACAGACCAGGCCAGTTCCTGGTGCATGGACCCAATTGCACTAAAACAAGGCTGCGGTCGATTCAGTATTTTTGGCGGATAACGATACGGTACAGTTCGTGGTGGTGGACATCGCGTTTATACTTGTTGGTGGTGAGCCCGGTGTGGACTCAGGGTTGGTGGTGATAATCGCCGTCGATGTCGTGCTGATCGTGATAGTTGTAGTGGCAAAGGTGTTGTCGGAGACGGTAGGTGGGGATTTAGGTTTCTTTTGTATGGAGTTCTGAGACGCAAATAAACAGTGAATGTCCGAGTTCATGAAATGTTGGCTGGAATTCTGAAATGTGTTTTCGATTAGGAAGGATTATTTAGGCGCGTTTGTAGTAGTAATTATCTTGCGGCATAATCCTTTAATATTTCGGACTCGAAAAGATGTCAGCTTTTAACTGCACTACTTTTCAATCTTCCATAGAAGCCGTGCGCGGTAATAAATGACCACTTAAGTAGCATGCATTTTTCCCATCGATTTTCGATGGTCTTGCAAATTCAAATATATTTTATAGAAACTACAAAAAATATGCTTTCGTTTAGTCCGTTGATAGAGAATCACGTCATCTTTATACTCAAAAAATGAATTTAATTAAGTTTTATAATGTTTCTACTTATGAAATTTTTTAAGAACGTGGAATTTCCATTCATATAGTATCGTACCTGTCATTTTATCATTGCTCCTCATGAAATGTACAACAGAGTCCTCATCTAGTGCGAAATTTTATGGACTCTATATGATATCTTCTTAGACGTACAGAGGAATGTGTGATTATCTTTACGCGGAACTCATGCCCCTTGTAGACCGAAATCACTAATTGCCAGTGCAAAGAGCGGTCAGGCTCCAAATGATTTGGCAATCAGAAAACTTTTTTAAAACCTAATTATGTCCACTTACATCGAGGACACGGTAGAGGATGTTCTATTTTGTGATTCTTGATTTGCTATGCTTGAGATTTGACAGTCACTAATTTGACATTGAAGCGAGGTCTTCGGGGTCTCCGGACAAATTTGACGATTGTTTAGGGAGGTCGTCAGGGTGTGATTTTAGCGATGTTTGAGTTTGCCCTAACGCCCAGCATCCGTGACGACGTCGACAAAAAATAGTCGCCTTGGTAGGCAATCGTAATCGATCCTCGTAATGCCGGCGCTCCATCACATTTACATTTGCTTCAGTAGCCAGGGAATACTGAAAATCCCGGTTTGTTTCATGGTCTGACTGTCGAGGATACTGTCCTGTCTAATCCCCTTAGATATTATCTGAAGGGAGCTGGGGCGAAATTCATTCAGTTTTTTAGTTTGTTAACACATACCTGTTGGGTCTCCGGTCTGTATACTAATGTTGTTAAGACTTCCGCCCTACTGAGATAATTTTTGCAGCGATTCCAGGCTGAAACCTGTAACCAGACAAAAGCCTGACCGAATTTAAAGACAGAGTTTGACACTTAAATGCTGATTCTGATGTTGCTTGAGACTACACTCCTTAAACAGGAAAATTTGTTAAATATGCGAGCCGAGTTTCCTCAACTGTGGTCTGTGGCATAATGTGTTCGGTCGCTGTGTTGTTGGTAACTCCAAAGTTCGCGCAGCCGGGGACGGAAATAGCCATGCTTTCTTGCGTTTTCCCTTCTGTCTTGATGGTGGCCGCGCAAATGACCGCAACGAAAAGTCGTAAACAGTAGCAATGCATGTTCAAGTTAATGCCTATATGAACCGTCTATTAATGGTCTGGCATTTTCCGATCACTGTGTGCTCCTCATGGTAAGTGTCTATCAGAATGATGAAGAATATGAGTCTAAAGAGTGTTAAAGTAGGTGAAAAATCCTGATTCACCGTGAATGATTCTAATACTGTCCCTTTTTCTCATTAGCTCGAACCAGCATTTCGTCGGATAATTGTCGCCCCATTTAAGTAACTTTTTAAGCATTTAAATTTTCTTATTATTTTTCGGAGTCCGTTGTGGTTGACTATAAAAAAACCGTTAAATAAACGAAATTAGCGACATTTCTCCCGTGGTCGGCTAGCAGAGAACATTATGTCCTTGGTTACGCGGCTCCTTTGAAATCCACACTTACATTCTGAGCGAAGAATTAATCCTGGTTCTTGCCCAAATGGTTAAGGCGGATTGGTAAATATCTCCTTCCCAATACCTACTAGCCAGATGTCTCTGTGACTGTCACGGAGTTGTCGATTTGATTTGCTCTTACAGGTCTGGATGAGGGTCGCATCCTTGATTTTTTGAAAAACTCAACTTTATCGCACAATTCCTAGAAAAGTCGATTCACTTTGCCCGTCAGCTAAGGACTACCGCACTGGTAGTTTCTGCGGATATTGCATCGATTCCCGCTGCTTAACCGCTGGACATCTGGTGTACAGCCTTGATAATCTCCTCCGGTGAGAGCGAATGATCGAGATTAGTGTTTGGCTTCGCTTGGGGAAGCCTGCTGATGACGATGTCGGAAAACCGGTTAAGGGTGCTTGTAAAGGCTCGACCCAGCATCTTAGAAGATGCGATTTCAACGTAAGAAGTGTCGACCCGCCGTATTTTAAAATTGGCGCGGCTCGTTTGATTGACGTTGAGAAGTCCACCATTCCTTCGTGGCTTGCCAACAGCTTACTTTCTGAGCATAGATTTGAAAACGGTTTCCCGAGGCTGCATGGTAGTCTTTACGCTCATGAAGTGACTGACATGCGGTTCAATAAGGTAAGCAGGATTTTGCTTAATTTTACGATAGGAACGTCATAGAACAGAGGTTTTCACATGAGCTTATAGTTTCAAGCGGATCAGTGACATACATTTAAACAGAATTGTCAGACGCGCGAAGTACGAAAATTATTATATCAGTTTCTGTCATCAGGTCTTAGGATATATTTTACGGACTATGCATGCTGTTTGAATTAAGCGAAGAAAACGCAAAACGGCCACCAAAGCAATTTTTGATGTCCACTCAAATGCCTTAGATGTTTACCTGTTTCCACGTTTGTGCGCGAAATCTCGACTAGGCGATTTTGCTCCCTCCAATGTCCACCGACCTAGATAACCAGTGGGGTTAAATAATGACTGTTTGCGAACAAGCGTTGAGGCTGACCCTCGTCAGACCATGGAGTAATTGCCAGAAACACGGTAAGGACAGGTTTTATTACCCAACCAGGTTCATTATATACAACTATCTTCTATATTTTAGAAGGCCATATTTAGTTAATCAGTTCATGTTTGCAGAAAGCCAC